GAAAAACACTTTGACCTGTTACTTGATTGCCTTAATGATCCTCTTATTGATAGCTTTTATGTGATTGGTGATATTATAATATTCCTGATATGACATGGGTTCCACCATCATCATCCTCCACTTCTGATTATTGTAACCAACCTTTACCGTTGAATGGATCTGGATCCGCCTATACACATTCCTTATTGTTGAATTTTATGGCATTTCTAAATGCATCGCAATATAATGGAATTTTTAATTCTAATGATAAACTACTGGACCTTTTCATCTCTAACACCTCATCTACAATTAGAGCCCCAACGGATCCACTACTTCCTCCTGATTCCCATCATCCACCTTTCATTGCGATTACAGATATGCATTAGACGTATAAACCAATGAAAAGGCGCACTCTAACCAAGTATAACTTCCGTAAAGCAGATTTTTACCTCATTAATTCCAAGCTTGAAGAAACAAATTGGACGGAACTACTGCAAACGCTTCCATCTGAAGCCTGCATTGAAACCTTTTATATGACCATAGATGACATCATAAAACAACATGCACCACGTTCTAGTTCTCGCCCCGGAGGATTTCCTGTCTGGTTTTCACGTCCTCTGATTAAAACATTTAAATGTAAACAAAAAGCCTGGACTAAGTGGAAGAAATATAAAAACCCAAGTGACTACGTACAATTTTCCCAATACAGAAATACATTTAAGATCCAATGCAAACAATGCTATCGTAGGTATATGGACACTGTAGAGGAAAATATAACTAAAAATATGTATAAAACACTTTTGGACCTATGTATCGAGTCGCAAAACTGAGACTAAAATTCCGTCCACTTTGCATTACCATCAACTTAAATCCAGTGACCCCGAGACAGTATGTAATATGTTCTCTGACTTCTTTCAATCAGTGTTTGAGCCCTCTCCCCCTTCTCTTTCGCATTGGCAGCCTCCATCTTGTACCTCAAGTCACGATATTTTAATTTCTAATATTTACTTCACTGAAACTGAAATTCCAAATTAACTCAAAAATTTAGACACTTCCAAGGGTCCCGGTCCAAATGGCCTTCCTCCACTCTTTTTCAAACAAACTGCTGAAAATATTTATAAGCAGCACATTATCTATAATAAGTGTTTGTCAGAGGGTGTTTTCCCTAGGAGGTGGAAACATGCAAATATAACTCCAGTTCATAAAAGTGGGTGAAAACATGATGTTCAACATTATCGCCCCATCTCTATCCTCTCCGTCTTGTCGAAGGTCCTCGAAAAATTAGTCCACAACTAAATTTACCCGATTCTACACAGTTCTACTACTAGTAATCTACTTACCTTTACGAATAATTTATTTGCAAGAGTTGATGATGGCTTTCAAGTAGATGCTGTATATACAGATTTTAAGAAAGCTTTCGACAAGGTGGATCATGAGATTCTTCTTAACAAGATTGCATTCAATGGTGTTCGTGGTAATTTGCTGCGCTGGTTTGTATCTTATATTCAAAACCGTTCCCAAAAAGTTTGTAATAAATGAATATCAGTCAAGAGACGTTTTGGTTACATCGGACGTTCCTCAAGGATCCATTCTTGGACCATTGTTATTTATTATTTTTGTTAATGATATAGACAAATGTTCTCTTAACTCCAATTTCCTGTTATACGCAGACGACCTGAAAGCCTACAAAACTATTAAAAATATAGAAGACTGTATATCTTTACAAAGCGACCTTGACAGATTGACAACATATTGCAACATTAATAAATTACAATTGAGCATTCCAAAATGTCACTATATAAACTTTACAAAAAAGAAAAATATTGTCTGTTTTAATTATATCCTCTGTAAAAAGTCCTTGGCCAAAGTGACAGACGTAAGGGATTTGGGGATTCAGTTGGACTCTAAGCTACAACTAAGCATCCATATTGATAAAATAGTCAAACAAGCTTTTAAAATGTACGGATTTATTATGAGATCTTCTACTGACTTCAAACGGACAACCACATACTTATACCTCTATAAAACTCCTGTTCGTTCCCAGCTTGAATATGCTGTACCTATATGGAATCCCTACTATAAAGTATACAAAGAAGCTATTGAGAAAGTCCAAAATAAGTTTTTGCGTGCCATGTACTATAGATGCCATAAATCTCACTTGTCTCGTATCCCATTGCTGAGAGAGTTTGGTGTTTTGTCGCTTGAATGTAGACGTAAATATCTTGAAGCTATAACATTGTATAAAATAGTAAACAATAAATTTAGCAGTACTGAATTAGTTTCCAATTTAAATTTCGTAGTTCCTAGAAGTACTCATATACGCGCTGTGCGCACTCGTAATTTGTTCGTCGTCAGTACATGTCGTACAAATACCGGCTTGCGCGCGCCAGTTCGCCGTATGATGCATTCCTTTAACGAGTTTTTCAATGATGGTAACATACCTAGATTTGTTTACACCGAATATTCTTGCTTTTAAAAGATTTATATTTGAAGAACTAAAAATCTAAAAATAATATTATTTTGGCTCTTTGTTTTTTAGTTTTTAGTTATTAAGTTTTTATTCAGCGTCCGCGACAATTTAATTAGCTTTGTAAGTAATATGTGGATAGCGTTGTGGGCTACATTATTGTGAATACATCATGTTGATTTATTTTAGATATTACTGTATTTTGTAGCTGTTTGCTGTTCCTTAATAAATAAAATAAAAAAAAGATATGTTATGTATAAAAACAAGCCTATCCATCGTGATTTGATTATTTTAATGAATTACTACATTAAAATAATCAAAATACACTGATGGATAGGATTTCATTTATTTATTTAATACAGCAACATCTTAAACATATAACGTTACATTATATTGTCCGTTCATCGTAACTTGACGCGTAATCCGATTGGCAGCACTGTAATTTACAGTGTTGCATGTTTCAATGTGAATAGCGTTCCCAAAATGCAGGGAAAGGCATTATGGATATGGATATGGTGCTGATGACTATACTTATGTGACTTTTTAAGTGTTATTGTGTACTCTCTGAAATAATTCATATATCAATAGGAACATTCGGGATAAATTTATTAAGATAGGGTTAAAAAGCATCATTTTATATAATTATGATCAATAAGCTGTAAAGGTATAATAACTTCTTCAATGTTACTTGAACACTCACTGTCACTATCACTTTCGTCACTGTCCATGGAGGTTAGAATGCCAACCCACAATAAAAAGCGATTACTTACTTCATTTATTATTTTATTTTTCATATTCAATTTTTATACCATCTGAGCTCTTTTTTTTCCAAATCTCTTCGCTTATTGAGCTTAACGTTTCTTTTATAAGGGATTCCACTTGATCATCCCTCTGGCCCACTTTTTTCTCTTCGAACCGTTTCTTTATAACACTCCATATTAGCTCAATTGAATTTAAATCTGCAAGATATGTGGGCAGTCACAAAACATTATGACCATGTGATTTTATTAATTCGTCAGCTTTATATATGGGCCCTGGTTTATTTATTTCTATTAATTCACATAAAATATTTTTTGGCAAAATTTGGTGAAAACAACAGTGCCTTGTTATAAAGCCACTCTACCATATCTATTTTGAGGCTTGCCATATTGGGTCTTTTATTTATTTGTACTTTATCATATGGTGCACTGTCCATCACAATCACACAATTAGGTAGCAGCTATATCTGTTCGTTCCACTAACATTTTTCGTTTTGATTGACACTTTTTGTATTTATATCCGAGTCGTTTTAATATATTCCATAGTGTAGTACGCCCACCTTCAAAATTTGTTTCATCTAGCAATTCGACAAGTAATTTGTTTAACGTAGCAATTTTTTTTCGTACAGCGTAAAATGACATAATTTTTGTTGTGTTGCACCAGTATCGCGATTTATGGTTCATAAATGATAGCTTGATCTCTGCGACAGCTGTCAGTAAAATTCACGCCTATGAAGTCCTGAATTTCTTAGTGGTACATACAGTACCTGTCAATGTCATACTTTATGGGCATGCACTAATTAGGTCGTTATGCTCGTAAAGTATGACATTGACAGGTACTGTCTGTACTAATAAGAAATACAGGCCTTCATAGGCGTGATTTTACTGACAGCTGTCGCAGAGATCAAGCTATCTTTTATGAACTATAAACGTTTTTTTTCCAGGTGTTACTTTTGATGAAACAGGCCCACCCATATTTGAAACAGAACTGATCTCTCTTTCTTGTCTCAAAATTCGGGTTGCAGTAAATTCGGATACATCTGTAGTCATTAAACAAATGCAATTTTATTTTCTTAGGTAGTTAATAACATTAAAATATTTTAGTAACGTTATTAAAATACATACGTGACGTTACTAAAATATATATACTTCTTTACATACAAATATTTTAATAGCATTAAGCGAATTACAAAAACAACAGTTAATCTAAATCATTGTAACTGGTCACCCTAAAAACAAACCGGTGATGGCGGCAACTCGGGCACGAATATGTTGCAATGGCAAAGTCAGCTTGTTTACACCCTTTTCTTTGTCACAAAAAAGCGTAAATTTGAAGAATAGTTTTCCTTTTAGCACTTTTAACTACTTTCGGAATTTTTAAAACTGAGATTAAATTATTAAAAAGAAAAATAGCACACAGATAGCAACCAATCAAAAAAATTAAGATGGCGACTGAGGAAACAGTGCTACCAATCACTCACGCGTCAAGTTAAGATGAACGGACTATAGGGTTTCTACTTTAGTACTTGCAACACTGTATCCGTCCGTCAAGTAGGGATGGGCAAATGGAAAAAATATATCGATATATATCATATCGATACTTTTCAAATGTATCGATATATATTTTTTTTAAAATATCGATATTCCGATATATCGATATTTTTTGCTCAAGAGAAGGTTACCTATATAGTTTGCAATCTCAAAAATTAGATAATAAAAAATGAAAATACATATCTGATATATTTATTATTTTGTTTATTCATAAATCGTACATTTATATTGTTTAAAATTAACCATCACTGATACCAGTATTCGTCTGAAATAGACATCAGCAGCACTCTTTCTTTAATGTGCTCACCTGTCAATCTGCTCCTATTATCCGGCACTGTTAAATTAACAATCGAAGCAACCCTTTCGGATGATACCGAGGAAGCTTGACATATTAAATATTTAAGAGCGATATCCGAAAGAACCGGCGTGAAATGTCGGCAATTTACCCAAAACTTTATTGGATCTGACTTCCTCTCAAGAAGTGGTTGGTCCAGATATTGCTTAAGCTCATTGGGGACAGATCCAGAGCTTGGGACCTCTTGTGCAGCTGTTCTCAGATTTAAAAGCTGCTCATGCCTGCACCAGATTGATGACTCATTTGCTTTTTCTGATGTTGCTCGGTCAGACCTTACATCTGGAGAACGTTGTCCTCTACGCCTATATTCTGAGCGAATATCGTCGCTTATTTTTGATATAGCATTTGATACGGCAATTGGAGAATTAAAGTGGATACGCTTGAAACGAGGGTCCAAAATTGTAACTACTGAGAGAAAAGTATTTATAAAGTGGGTTGTATTACTTGCTTTCCTATTTTTTACGGCTTGATTGAAGAATTGAATCTCGGAAGAATCTTCTTGTATTTGTTGATTACTTGTACTTAGTACATTAACCTAGCAAAACAAAACAAGTTCATAACCTAATCAAGTCACGCGGTGGACTACTTACAGTAATTTTAATGATTCTTTAAGACTTACATCGGGTACATCGCCACTGGTGTCTTCGCCTGTCGACGCATTTTCATTTTCATTATTAGATTTTTTTTGGTTGAATTTTGGATGCATGAATGAATTTTTCTGCTGCATGTTGACGAACTGCAAGTATGCATAGTGATGCTTGGTTTTCAAGTGTGCAGCTAAATTTGTCGTGTTTCGATATATCGATTTTTTTACCCAAGCCTACTGTCAAGTATCAAAACACCAAAACAGTCAAAGTATCAAACTTGACCGTTTGTTCAATTTTCCTTCGTATTTGTTAGTATTTGTATTTTATCGTATTTTACTTTTATTTAATAAGTGTCAGCCCCACGCGAGTGCTCCACTAATTATAAACGGTGTCATACATAAGTTTAATAAGGAAAATGGACCTTTTACAAGCGTGTGTTAACTGTGGTATCGCTGTTGGAGAACGCATCATTATTACCTCCTGATATGGCTGTTATTTTATAGGAGTGGTTAACCTTTGAGGTAAGCTAGTTTCGCTAAGTAAAATATTTAAAGACTACCTAGGCACTTGCCTACAACATTTACGAGAAGAATCAGATTGGAATATTATTTATTTACCCTACAATCTTAATTCGACGGCTTAGAATCATAGATTAATGAGTACTTATTTATCCTTCACAGTTGTCGCCTCATAGCTGCGTCTACGGTTCCTGCTATGACATTATAACAAGATGCCTTGTAACAAATTCAAGGGGAAGACCAAGTTGGCTATAAAAATGTTTGCTATGGCTATGGTAAATCTGTTGCATGAGCAAAAACACAGCATTCCCGAATGTAGTTCTCTCGCCTCAGTTGTATCATCATGGCATCATCATGTGAGTAATTATTTTCATTATTCATTAAAACTGCAAATAAGACACATTAGTTAAACAATCACTGTGACCCATATGTGGTAATGTCAATCTCTAAACTCGAATATTTATAATGGTGCTGTAGGTACTGTTAACTAAAACTAACTTTTCAAAGTAATCAATATGCATTATAGCTCTCCAAAATACATATACCATAACATTCATCTTTATTTTGTGTTTTCAACAGCTTGTCACATAAATTAAAGTGACCAATATGGTAAGGTTTTATATTTTTTCAGGTTATAGCGGCCAACTTTTTGTGTCATGGTTGTTATGTGAGAGAGAGCTTACAGAGAAATGGCCCGAAGAAATATTGTTGATTGTAATAGATTTGAAAACATAGAAGGAAACCAAGCTGTTTAATTAATTCAGGTCCCAATTTCCCCCCCCCCCTTCCCTCCCTGGACCAACAGTAGGTACCATTCAAGATGTATCAACAATTGTCCTGCCAAATTATAGATGTTGTACTAATACATCTAGAAGACGCATATTTGATGGCTGTCACCATAGTGCAGGTCATTTAGTGCCTACCTTGGTTAAATCAGTATTGTTCTTGGATAGTAACCTTTATGTGCTTCGAAGTGCCAGGATATGTGAAGGACATTTACTTTCCAATAAATGGGAATTATTATTAGAGAACACAAGTTTAACTTTCACGACAAATCAAGTTGAAAGCTTGTTAGATAATAAAAATGAGGACAATGTTATTGGTTTTGAAAACATGGAATCAGTGCCTGGTTATGTATGTCACTATTGGGCAGGGTGCACTACACAGGAGTTAATAGAATAACAATACAGTCTGTTGTTCCCAAAAATTCAAAAACTGTGTTAGCAATGTTTTTAATCACATATAGGACTGGTGATAGTCATACTAGGATGTCTTGTCTTTTTAGGATTACTAAATCAACTCAACAGAACAAGATGAAGCTTGTGAGAAACTGTCTGACTAATTATTATGTTCCGCTACATCTTGGAGCGTCCCACGTATCTCACTAAGAAGTGGCAAAAAAAACACCACTACACCTTGGAAATTATATGGAAATCCTCGGCCTGATTCCTCTAACAGGTGAACTATTGTACAATGTGATGGTACCTACATCCATGAGCATTCAAATTGTAAACAGCAAAAAAGTTGTACAGTCTTCATAAATATCATAACTTTAAAAATCATTTTTAGTAGTCTGTTGATATATTATTAATGTGTTTGACCTTTTGCAGCAACTCAAAACAGATGCAGAAATAATTAATTTTATTAAAAAAAAATATTTAGTTTCTAGCGATGTCCTATTATGAGGTCACATTAAATCGAGACATACTTCTAGGCGTGAGTATTACACTATATTTTATATGAGCAACCTTCAAATCAAAATTAACCGAGAGATGCAATCTTAGGTTATTGATGTAATTGTGTAGCTGGAAACTGGATGTTGGATGTTGTTCACATATAATGAGTAATGACTATTCTGTGGTACTTGGGATGGGTGAGATACCACGAAAGTATTATTCCACCAGCTGCATTACTTGATAATGTACTAATAACATTAAATGATTAAATGCACAAAATAATGCATGTTGTTTTATTGTCTGTCTAATAAATATGCTTTGATCAATAATAGTTAATTTTGTTACAAAAAATAGTTACACACTATAAAAATAATTTCAAAGACTGAAAAAGCTGCTATTCATTTTTATTAGCTAAACCAGTTAGGATACATCCTAAACATTTGGGA